AAGTGTGTAAAGATTACAGAAAGTCCTTTCTTATACCTCAGTGCTGGGGATTAGACTGTTTCCAGGAGGAGAAACATGAAATGGCCATCTCACAATTCAAAGCACAATCACAGAGTTTAAGAGTTGGGGAGTTCATTTTGAAAATCCGTGTTTAATGTTGACATGGAAACATTAAGTCCTTTGATAGAAAGAAAACAGAATATTTGTAATGAGGCAAGTTCTTTACAAATTGGAAATTCTCAAAATTGTATGACCTTGAAAGCAACCATAAGACCATCTTCTTGTGTTCTTTCCTCTTTCTAACCTTGAGAGCAACCATAAGATAAAGAATACAAGAGTTGTCGCTGACTTACTACAAATGAATGGGTTGCAAATGCCTAGTTGCTTACCAGCACTCAGCTGTGTAGTTAGGAAGAAAACTGTAACTACAGTTATTAACAATGCTTGCAAGACATGTGCATACAAAAAAGAATCTCAGTACTAGGTAAGGAATTCGCTAAATGCATTGTTCTCATTGAAATAACATGGGTGATTTTCAAGGTCAACATAAAGGTCATTTGTAAAAAACCTGCTGTGGGGGTTTCTGATATTCATTCAAAGGCTAATCTATTTCCGTAAAATGTTTTCTTAGAATTGCATGGCAGGCATTTCAGGACAGGTGCATCAGTTCACAGCCACACCACTGTGTCCCCACCCTCTTTCCTATCAGAGAAGGGAAAGTTCACAGGGTTGAGTGGCTACTTCCATTTTGATCAGAAATTAAAAGTAGGACATGTTTTCCTTCCTTTTCCACTGGAAAGACCACATAGAATACAGAGAGAGAGAGAGAGAGAGAGAGAGAGAGAGATCCTTAAGTACGTACCACATTGTATCTCAGAGGAAAACGTCGAGTGAAGACAAATTTACAAGCCTGCTCCTAAAAGCAAGTTCAAAGTCAAAGGCCTCCCTGGCAATGTATGTCTTAATGAATCAAGTTTGAACTCACTAGTGCTTTTGTTGCACGGTGGTTAGACCCTGCTGTGATTAAGACCCTGGTCTAGCTTCACTGATGAGGATGAATCCACCCTTATGGTCTTCACTACCAATGTTGACTGGCCACCCACACTCAGACTTCACATAAGCCAATAATTCTGTTATCTTAGGTAAAACTTCTGGCCAAGAGAATAGAATCAATCCCTGGCCTGGGCATGACATCCCAGTTGGGAAGGGCCATCCCTGGCTAAGAGATCAGCTCTGAGAAGGTTGCTCACCCTAGGCATTGCTAAAGAGATGGGTGGAATAATGAATCTTTTAAAGAGACACTACTCTCCTTCCTAGAATCCCCACCCCTGGTGAGAAGCTTAGGGGCCACAGCCAAGTAAGAGTCATAGTCTGCCGCTTTACTAAGTTATTAGGCAAGTGCAACTTCTTCCTTCCTTCTGACTCTTTCCTAAGGATGTTTTCCTTATTTTCAGCTTTCCCCCAACATTTCTGGCTTCCTTACTTTCTAAATGAAGGGACTCTAACCAGCCTGAGCATGGCAAACATGGCTCTGGCAGACCTTGCCCTTCTCCTCCATCCCCTCTGCCTTGCAAAAAAAAACATCAGATACATCCCCAAAGCTAGCCACCTAAGTCTATTTCCTTATTTGGCTACTTCCTCCTCCTGAGACTGACTACTCAGGTCTAGCAATCAAAGTATTGAAGTCAAGGAATCAGAAGCCCACTTTGGCTCACCTAATTAACGTGCTCAATTAAAATTAAGCACCTCATCCTAACACGTGGTTTCTCCCCTTTTCCCTTTATAAACTGTCATTTTCCTATGTGCCATTCTGTCTCCTCTCTATCCAGAAGCAGTCCTTTCTCAACCCCCACCCCAGTCAAATATCTTTCCCTCTCTCCCTTGCCCCCTTTTCCTCTCTTCCCTTGTTCCCTTGTCTTCCCCCTCCTTATTCTCCAGCTTATTCTCTTCCTTCTGTCCATCTGGAGCAAATAAATCTCCCTCGTGCTGAGAACTTGGTCTTGGGGTGTCTTGAGCCAACTCTTAAGTTTCCCAATACTAAAACCTCCTGCCCTGCCTTACCACTATCATCTGTCTAACTTCCATGCCAACTTAAATGGCATGGCCTTTTCTCTATTCTCCTTCTCTGGGCAGCAACTGTTTTTGTTTTTGTATTTGGTTTTTGTTTTGGGGGGACAGCGTTTCTCTATATTGCTTTGGAAACTGTCCTGGAACTCACTCTGTAGACCAGGCTGGCTTCAAACTCACAGAGATTTGCCTTCCTCTGCCTCCCGAGTGCTGGAATTAAAAGGTGTGTGCCACCAACGCCTGGCAACTGAAGTTTACAGTTTGTCTGCTCTGGAGTTTTTCTTGTAAACTCTAATAAAATTGTCCTTATGCTTCCATTAACTCCATTTTAAATTATTTTATTAGTAAGACTAAGAACCCTCAAGGGGGACCCTGATTTCCTCTATATCAATTAGCTTAGACTTTTAACATGAAGCCACCATTATTTAATAATAATAACAATAATAACCGTAATACCTACAAGCATATTCTATTTCAGATACAATAGTACAATTCTGAGAAGAGGGATTGTGATAAAGAAGGTGAAATAGAAGAAAAGGAATTACTACATTGTCAAAGCACCTTCAACATCTCAAAAATGAGGGACAAAAATAACTGTGTGCCAGTGGATTGACTGGCCAGCAACAGAAATGCTCAGGTCAATCAGGCTTCTAGAAGAAAGAATGGCAACTAGTCTTTGCAGTGGAAAATTTCCACACTGCTGAAGGGAAGCCTGGCTTTTCAGAAGGGAATGGAAGAAGACCAGAGAGAGGCAGGAACCCAGAACCACCAGTAAGTACACAGAGTGGAAATGTAATCTCTCTGCTGTGAGCTCAACAAGCACTACAAAGACTCCCCAAGTTTAAGAAAAACCCCAAGCCAAGGCAAGACAGATGTGACTAGAGAAGAAACCAATGGGATTGGGGGTAGAAGGATGAGATGCAAGTGTGCCAGTTCCCCCCTCCCTTCAACCAAGCTGGACTCCAACCCATCAAAAGCTTGCTGGTAATCTTTGACTACCTCCCCCCACAATCCAAACTGTATTTCAGCATAAAGTGCCACCCTTGATGTAAATGTGACAAGATGCAAAGCAGCCAAAGAGTGAGTTGGTTAAACAGAGGAGGATTAAACCCCAGGGAAGTAGAGTAGGACAGAGATGTATCCAGGGTCATTACCAGGCGAAGAATCTCTTAAGGGGACATAAGCAAAAAGAAGAGGTCAAATTATGTCACCGGCCCCAGCCTTAGACCTTGGGATGGTTAATCTTCACCATCTACTTAGCTAGACTTAGAAGCACCTAGGGCAAACAACGCTGAGCATGTCCATGAGGGCGTTTCCATAGAGGTTTGACTGAGAGCCTGAGACCTGCCCTGATCGTCGGGCAGGCTTAGCACAGGCATTCCATCTCTCTGCTCCTTGATTTGATTGCAGGTTCTTGTTCCCACTGCCAAGTCTTTAAACAGCCAAATTAAACCCTTCTTTCTTCCTTATGTTCGCTTCCTCGGGTATTTGGAAATAGCCCGGAGAAATGTACCCACTACAGACTCAAAACTGTTGCTCACCTTGGTCTGGCTTCTGCTTTTCTTGTCTCCTGTAGACACAGCTGTCTTAATGGTTGTGCCCTCTCACTGGTCCCTTACAAACTGTGAGCACCTGGTAGACATCTGGCTTGGGGAGACTGCGCTGTTCAGCCCAGATGCTGCCAGTAAGGTGCACCCAGGAAAGGTGCAATTCAAATTCTCAAAGAATAATCCCACATTTAGCCTCAGAGAGCATTCCTGCCTGATCATACACGCTGCTACTGAGAGTCAGAGAAACTCAGATCTCACACAACACATTGGCTTCTTGTGAGGCTTGTCACTTGTCCATTCCTTACCTTGTAATCCTACCTGGGGCAGCTCAGCTATTGGCCATCACCTTCAAATGAGAAATACACACACTCATTTTATTTTTGGTTTGTTTCTGTGGGGGTCCTCCCCCTACACTCACACAATACTGGTATCTAAACCAAGGGACATACATGCTAGGCAAATTATTTTCTCAATAATCTTGCCCCACTTTTGATAACATCTGTTGATCTCTGTTCAACTCTTTGGGGACACAAGAACCCAGAACCCCCATGGTGGTGCTTAAGGAACCTAAATATCAGATGATGGTTGGACTCACCTGACAAAGGTTCTTTGCCGCCAGGCGTTGGTGGCACAAGCCTTTAATCCCAGCACTCGGGAGGCAAAGGCAGGCAGATCTCTGTGAGTTCGAGGCCAGCCTGGTCTCCAGAGCGAGTGCCAGGATAGGCTCCAAAGCTACACAGAGAAACCCTGTCTCGAAAAACCAAAAAAAAAAAAAGAAAGAAAGAAAGAAAGAAAAAGTCTTTGCCCCTCTTAAATACTGACACAATGACTGTGTCTCCTGAGATGCATACTAGGAGAGAAGTTATTTGCCATTTTCTTTCCTCTCCTCTGGGGAAAGGACCTTACCCTGGTCTCAGTGGATGGGAATGGGGATGTGTTTTGAATACCATCCTCTTTAGCAGAGGGTTTTTTGTTTAGTCAGCCTTTAGTAAAAGCATAAATTATAAAATGCACCAAAGAAATTATCACCCTTAATGTTGTGAGAGACAGAGTCCTTTGAATCTGCAGGAGGCTATTTTGTTTTAAGAGGATCTCACTGTAGCCCTGGCTGGCCTGGAACTTTCTATGTGAACCAGGCCGATCTCCAACTCATTAAGATCCTCCTGATTCTGACTCTACAGTGCTGGCATTAAAGACCTATGTAGCAAGTTCCAAGCCGACCAGGATGACATAGTAGGAACCAAAAACAAATAACTAGGTAAGTAAAATAAGATAAAATAGACCTCATTTCTCAAAACTAATCCCAAAAGGAAATCATATCTTGGCAACGAAATAAACTCCACTAAAGCAATTTTAAGAACTGTTCACTTTCTATGACTTTTATTTGCAACAGTTGTTTGAGTTGGGAAGAGATTACAAACAGCTCTTAATCACTATGGCTCTTGGGACTTGCAGAGTGAAAACAAGCAGTTCACAGAACGACCTCCCCAGTGGTTACAGGTGTTCTGACTAGTAAGAAAACCGCCCTGTTTCTGCCTTGCTGTTTCTCTGCTCCTGCTAAATGTGCATGATGCTGAGAATGGCCAACACCTTGACAGGACATGCAGGATGTTGAGAGAGCCGTACCGTTGCCCTACACTGTTGCTGCTACATTGCAGCTGAACTTCGTTTTCTACATTCAAATTGATCCCAATTTTCAGTCTTGATGGGTTTCCTCATATCTACTTGAACAAGTAATTTTATTGGAATAGTAGATAAAATACATAGCAAAATGGCAGCCTCTGCTTTCCTTTCCAAATGCCCTAGGGTCCTTCTCCAACACAGCTTCAGAGAGAAAGCCCCTGATGATTGTCAGGGACAACTACTAACTAATTGCAGAAGAATATTGAATATTGGCTATGCCTTAAAAATAAATGTATTGCACAGCTCTCAGTTTTGTTTTTGTTTGTGTTTGTGTAGGTGCTATGCTTCCCCTGGGAATTCTGCTAGTTGTGGAGTTACTGTACTCTCTTTTCTAATGGCTGACTTGTCATGGTACAGAAAGGCCTTTCTTTCCAAGCAGTAAGCAGTCACTTGGAAGACCTCAAGCCTTAGCATTGACCTTCTTATTGTTGTCATAGCTAATGCCACCAATGCCCTCAAGTATGTTCATAGGCAGGGGAAACACGATGGTGGAATTCTTCTCAGTGGCCACAGTGGTCAAGGTCTGTAGGTAACGCAGCTGGAGGGCAATGGGGGACTCTGCCAGCACCATGGAAGCCGACTTCAGTGACTTAGAAGCATTCATTTCTCCCTCAGCCGCAAGGACCTAAAAGAAGAGACACAAAAGTTGACAACATCATGGTATCTGAGAGTTCTCTTTCTGGGTTTGTGTCCCCATTATGCCACTTGTGTTTTCTCTGCTCACTTTCTTAGCAAAGACAAACTTTTCACATTCTAGAAGGTTTGAAAAAATTCAAGAAGTTGCACAAAGTGAATGTTATGGTTAGTTGTGGGTTTTGCTCCAGTGTTTTTGTTTTGTTTTGTCTACTTGACTCAAAGTAGAGTCATCTGGGAAAAGGGAACCATAGCTGAGGGATTGCCTCCATTAAATTTCCTATGGGCAAGTCTGTGGGGGCATTTTCTTGATTAATAATTGATATGGGAGAGCCCAACACACTGTGAGATATGCCATACATCACTGGGCAGATAGTCCTGTGTTGTGTAAGAAAGCAACCTGAGTAAGCCACGAGGAACAAGCCAGTAAGCATGGTCTCTGCATCAGTTCCTACCCTGACTGAAATAAACCCCTTTCTCCTCAAGTTAATTTTGTTTGTGGTGTTTATCACAGCAACAGGGGTGTAGACTAGGACACTGGGGCTAAATATTTTAGAAATTATTAACCCTCAAATTTATTTTCAAGCAGATAAAAGCAGTGTCATTTAAGCAAATGAGAACTTGACCTTCTAACCTGAGAATGTGGAGGCCTGAGAACAGCGTTCAGGAGCCAGCTCTCCCGTGTTGTGCATTATAGGGACCCATCTCAGGAAGTTAGGTTTGCATGACAAGCGCTCTTACCGCCTGAGCCACCCATCCTTCTGACTCTTATTCTGTTGCCAAATTAGTCTCATTCTCACAATGCCAGAATTGCTTCTATCCTCTCAGCTTTTGATCACAGCAGTAATGAGCCCCAGCCCAATAACCCTCACTGGGGCTCTCTCTCTATTGACTGCTCTTCTAAATTCTGAGATTACCCAAGAGAAACCCTGGCCAGGGCTCAGCTGACCCATCTGTGGGCACTTGCTTTCCATGTGCCAAAGGAGTCCTACTTAGGAGCTCCTGGTACTCAGGAGACAAAGCAAGTATGACTAAAGAATAAGAGTAGAGAAAACCTCCCTTAGCCACAGTTTGGTTTCCTAAGAGTCATTTCTGAAGATTCCCAGTCTCTCACACAAGTACATCTATCTGTACAGAACAAAGGTGACAGCAGATTCTCCAACACGCAGGCCAGGCTGAGTTTCACATGTTCTCATTCTAACCTGGCTTGTATTCAGTCACTTTGTAAAAACCAGTAACATTTATCATACGCCAATAATGGTGCTTAAAACACAAACATTGGGGGCTGGAGAGATGGCTCAGAGATTAAGAGCACTGACTGCTCTTCCAGAGGTCCTGAGGTCAGCAATTCCCCCATGGTGGCTCACAACCATCCGTTAAGAGATCTGGTGCCCTCTTCTAGTGTGCAGCTATACATGGAAGCAGAATGTTGTATACATAATAAATAAAATATTTTAAAAAACATAAACACTAAGTTGGCCACTTCAGAAATGTCAGCTTTATAATTGATGGTGGTTCCTGGGTGACTACTGGCTCTGCTTCAAGGGATCTGAAATGCTTTGTGGCCAGTGTTGCTTCCTGCATTGCTGATCACTCCACATGCAGCAAGCAGAGTCATGACCTATCACCAAGTTTCCTCAACGGGTGGTAAGCTGCCCACTGTCTTTTAGGGAATTTCTCGGGAAAGAATCTCTTTTGGATCAATAATTGGGATGCTATTCTCCCCTCAGCTCCATCCTTGTCCATCAACATGCTAACCAGTGTTTCTTACCCTGGCTCTGGCTTCCCGGGTGGCCTCAGCCTCAGCCGCCATAGACCTCTGCAGCTGCACAGGAATCCGGACATCTTTGATTTCCACCCTGGCCACACGGATCCCCCATAGCTCAGTGGCATCATCAAGCAAAGTCTGTTTCCAGAAGAAAAGGCATTGATTAGAAAACATATGACCTGCTCACATATCTGATGGTGGTAGTCGCAGACGACCCAGATGAGGGAATTCAAGACGTAGGCTCACAGTACTTACCTGGATGCTGTGGGCAATCTCTTCTCGACCAGATAAGATCTGGGACAAGGTCTGTGTCCCTAAGACATTTCTCAGAGTGGTCTGAGCCAGCAGAAATGTGGCTTGGTGAACATCATTTACATTGGCCACTGCAGAGACAGCGCTGTAGATTCTGTAATAGACGACTCCATCCACTTGGGTGGTCACAGAGTCTCTTGTGAGGATCTGTAGAACATACACAGAGGGAGACTGTGTGTGTGTGTGTGTGTGTGTGTGTGTGTATGTGTGTGTGTGTTAGTTTACAATTGGCAAAGAGGCAACCAGCCCTAGTATCCTCCCCCACAGAAGGACATAGTAAATGGCAACTCATGCTAGCAATCGGCAAACATCTGTCGTGGCTTCAGAATAACAATATCTCACAGCTAAATGACTATACAGGTTTGGTCACTACCTATCCCTGTAGCTTCAACTTAGAGATTCTTACATCCCGTAGGCAAAAGTCCCGCCTTCGTCCCCTTCCAAACAGAATTTGCATGATGTTATCTACCTAATATGCCTACTTAATATCATCGGGCAAAAGGAGAAGCAGTGCTTCTCAGGAACTATAGATGGCGCCAAAGACCGTGTTCTACATTCAAGCAAAGCAACTGAGCTCTAGAAACCCACCCACAGTCATTTTGAACAGTGACCTCCCCCTCTCCCTCCCTCCCTCCCTCCCTCCCTCCTGCTCACTTTCTCCCCCTCGTCCCCCCCTCTACGCCCCCCCAATGGTATTTCTGGGAGGACCCTGGGACCAGAACCTGAAAACTGTCCACTACAAAGCCACAAAAGCCTTTCCAAGCTTTCCAGTAGCATCCTCCATGGTTCCTGAGAGCTCTGGACCTTGATTGGTTTCCTACCTACTTATCACTTTAGCCGCCCTCCATCTTTCCTGCATTTTCATTTCTTTCTAGATGCCTTTGGTTATAAGAGGGCAGGTGGCATGCGTGTCAGTATCACTTCCTCTTCTCTAGCACTCAGTTACTGCTTTGGGTCATTAATTCATAGAATTTCAGTAGTAATTTGAAGTTCCAAATTCAAGCGGGTCCTGGGTAGCCTCTGTACTGCCTATACTTGTTCTGTCCCAACACATGCACATAGACACCAAAAACAAATAGCAAAAGTAAAGGTCAGCTATGCCACTGTTTCTAAAAGCCCCCCTGTAGCTGGACGAAGCTCGGAAGGCGAAGGCAGGCGGATCTCTGTGAGTTCGAGGCCAGCCTGGTCTACAAGAGCTAGTTCCAGGACAGGCTCCAAAGCTACACAGAGAAACCCTGTCTCGAAAAACAAACAAACAAAAGCCCCTCTGTGGAGAGTGCAGCCTGATCCTCCACCTCAACCCCTTCCACTCCACCACCTCTAGCTTTCTGGTGCCAGTCTGCCCCCACCTGGCTATTCCAGGGCTTGTTTCAGCTTTTCAGGCCCTCCCTTCCCATTCATTCTCATTTGGCTAACTAAAGACACCTGAAGCACTTCAAGAAGGCTCTAGTGTCGGGAGCCAAATCTGAGGGCTTGGCATGAGATCCTAGGCCATGCTTGGCAGGCCACATAGTTAACCTTTACATAGCAGCTCCTTAGAACCTCAGCTCAAGAAAAGAAACAACTTAACCCAGTCCTCAGTCTCAGTCACCTAGGCAACCCCTTCCTGGACCTCTTATTCATGAACTCTTTATCATGCCAAACATCCTCTTTGTGGCTCCCTAATATACTGCCTACACTAACACCTGGCTCACAAACAACCTATTCTACCCCTCCCCATATCCTGCTCTGCAGACTATATAAGCTAGCCTAAGAAAAAAGTAAAGTTTGCCACTTGATCAGAATCCTGTCTTGTAGTCGTTCTTTCTTCGTCTCTTGTCCCCATTCCCTATCCCTGACTCTCTTGCCCCAGGTTGATGTCCTGCAGGTCAGGACACTCTGGGGTAGGGGTGGGGATTAAGTCATCCTCTCCCTGGTAGGTTAAAATTATGCCCATGTCATAGGGAACATAGGGATTTCATTTTTGGTAACCCTTGTTGAATCTTGTACCTCTTGTGGAGGAATGTTGCAAGTAACTGTTCGGAGATCAACTTTGACAAAAACGTCAATGCAGGGCAGGACCAGGATCAAACCTTTGAAAAAAGAAAAATGATTTAAAACTTGACCTGTTCAAAAGCATGACAAAGACGGTCTTCTACATATGTTAGCATCGTTTTTTTGTAGTGCTGTGTACATTTCTTGGATCTTCAGTAAGGACACATTCAACTTTGGGGAAGGTAACTCTTCCGCTCATTCAGTAACTAAAGGAAATGAACTACTTAGGAATTAAGTACCTTTGGAAAAATGCTAAAAGGGCCCTGACACATGTTTTTAAATTTAAATTTTTGTTCATAAGTAATTTACTTCTCTTTAAGCATTTATTTTGAAGTTCATTTAAAAAACAGTATCTAGGAAATTGGTTTCCTAACTAGAATGAGTAAAGTTTGGCTGTGATTATCAACTACTGGCAAGAGCATCTACATCAACAGTGCTGAAGAAATACTGCATTAAAATCTTCCACCCAGTCTCAGATACTCAGGAAGGAGGCTAAATTAGGTGGATTACAAGTTCAAGTCCTGCCTGGTCTACATAAGGAATCCAAACCCAGCTTGAACAAATTAGAGTTTGTCTCAAAAACATATGTATGTATGTATGTATGTATGTATGTATGTATGTATGTATGTATTATTGTTTGGCACTTTACTAGCACAATTTTCCAGGGGCTCAGGTTCCCTGCAAACAGTGCACTGCAGAACTGAGAACTGATGGGTCTCTTTAGCTGTGCTCAAGTGCAGTGGCATCCCCCAGGTGCAAGACTTCTGTTTCTAAGTAGTAAGTGCTGGGCTTGGAGCAGGTCAGGGAAAGGGCAAAGTAAGAAAGCCCATCTGAGAACACTGTGGGTCCTCAGCTTTACACCCCCCCCCAGAGGCTTTTGTTCTTTATAAGCATCACAGCCACGAGGCATGACAGCAAAATGAGGACATGGAGATATTTCCACCAATCAGAAAATCTTTATGTCACTGTGTTTTTAGGGCAGAAATCAGCTTTTAGTCTGAGTGAAGAACCAGTGAGTACAGTGGTAAGAATCTCTACCCTAACTTCCTTCATTTTCCTCTCTCTCTCTCCTGCCTGTCTGTGTCTCTGTCCCTGTCCCTGTCCCTGTCCCCCCCCCCCCCTCCTCTCTCTCTCTCTTGTGTGTGTGTGTGTGTGTGTGTGTGTGTGTGTGTGTGTGTGGTCTCTGGTTAATCTCAAATTCCTGAGAACTACCTTGAGTTCAGTGCCAGTCAACCCTATGGTCTGGGACCATTCATCCATCTTTCCTGAGCTTCCATTACCAACAACTTATAAGATGTAGTGAAGATGAAACACTGGACACCATGACAACAAACAAAGTTCTAAGAACAAAGTCAGGCATCCAAGAAGTGCTGGATATGGCTGCTCTTCTCGTCAATACTTTTATTACTAAAGGATAGTTTACCATTTGCAAAAGCCTTAGCAATTTGGCTTGTTTCCCTCCGGTCTTCATGATGTTCTGAGGTAAACCATTAGCCCCAGAGACATGCATGACGGGGGTTATTATCCTGGGACTCTTAGCAGAGAAATCTTCTGGGAGAATTCATTTAAGAAGGGCACATTCTACTCTGGAGTTCTCCAAGTGGTGGCTGTTCTGCTTCTCTCCCTGCTCTAGTTCTATTTTAGCACAATCCTGGGCCCATCAGATGGGAGCATGACTGAAGAGAGGAGCTCGGTGACTCTTCATTGGTAGATGGCCTAACACTGATGTCTTAACAAATGGATAAAAGCATCTGTAAGAAGTGATTCTTGCCCTTTCTCTTAGGTTGGTTATGAAATTAGATAAAAATTATACCATCTGAAATGGTTAGGGCTCATTCACAAAATCATCCTCGGAAGTTTTTCACAATTTTTCTCAATGTAACATATAATAGCACATGGTGTTGTTGATTTATGTTCAGGTTGAGTCTCACCAGGAATAAAAGGCTCCTGCTCCTCTACCCCTGATCTTACAACATGGTTAGAGATTTAACAATTTTACTCAAAGTGTAGGAAGGGGACAGAAAGCAGATGTTATAAGAGAATATAATGAATGGCCACTGTTTTGTGAAAGCCCTTCCTATCCATATATTGGAGTCAACCATATGAAATTGTCAGTGTTATAAATCAAAACAAATACAAGCGATTTGTGGTTCAAGAGAAGCTGTGACTGAAGACCTCGGGTCTAGGGCCATTTACTATCCAACACCTCCCATCTGCTCCCCCAACCAAAAAGTCATTTTATAGTTTGAATGGTTTGTAACCGGTTTTACTTCCCAGAGTTGTAGTCAGCATGGGGAAAAAATGATACAACTGGTGTTAGATGCCTGGAATCTCTTGCTTACTACCAGCCACTGGGACACTCACTGTCAAATCATTAAATCTATATTGGTCTCAAGGTCTTCATTTTCAAAACTAGAAGACTCCATCAAGGGACTCCTTCCATTATCCATTGGCTAACCACAAGAGGAATATGTATGTATGTATGTATGTATGTATGTATGTATGTATGTACGTGGGGGGGTGTATGTGTAGTCTGTTATCTCGTTCCTAACATAATAAAATCCAGCTCCTTGAATAGTCCCTTGAGTAATTTAATGGTCCACATGGGCCATTTGCTTTCTTCCTTCGCAGCCCTGAATATAAATGACATGCAGTCAATGTTACCCATACATTGGATGACTCAGGGGATGAGTTATGAAATAGGCTCAGATTTCATAATACTCAAACTGGTGGTCTCCCCCACTAACATGCCCGATGGAGTATGTTAGTGCCTAAAACACAGGTCTCTGGCTTTCTGTGTGTTTTCTTGAGGCTCACTAGTTCCCACGGGTGGTGGTAACAGATGTCCACAGTCTCCGTACCTGGTCCCTTGGCTTTATCAGCTCGGATGCGTCCCAGTCTGAAGACAACAGCACGTTCATACTCCTTAATGATCTGAGAGATGAAGGGAGAACCTTTAGCGTCTGTGTGTGTCGGGTCACAGGGAGATACCCATTTGTTTCCCAGGGCATTACCTTCAAGCACATCCATATGGAGATGGGGAAGGTAATGAGCATCAATAGCATGGAGAGGGAAAACAGGATCCAGCCACACACACCAAGCCGGTTTTTGTTGATGCCTGGGAAGTGAGAAAAGCAAGCTTGTAATCTAAGGGATTCTTAGCACAGCTATCAGGCAGTGTGCGTGAGGAGAGAGTATTTCCTGACACTGCCCAAGATTGACAGGACAGAGGAGCAAACCGAATCCATTCACACTGTGAGTATAGTTACAAACAGCTCTGCGCTGGTGCACACATGCACACACGCTTGTAAGTACAGGAATTCAAAATGTTTTGTTTAGGGGATGCTTAGAAATTAAAATCAATCTGTCCCTTCCAAGAAGCAGCTAAACAATCAACAGTGATAATCATCATTATGTTTTGTAAGGCCAGCATGTTTTATCATTATCCAAACATGAAAAAATGTCTTGGAATATGACCATGAACCACTTACATCAGGATCATCAGATTCTTGGGTCCCTTGAAGTCTCCATATGAAATTCAAGCCTGAGATAACAAGCCCTGAGATAGATAGGGAGGTGCTATTCTCCCTAGAGAGGAGAGTTATGCGCTTGAGGGGAAATATCTTAGAACCCCTGGTGTGAGTTTCTATGCAAGGTCTCTCATGTGCCGACTCCAGAGCTTTGCACAATCCATTCCAGAAGAGACTCTCTGAGTCTCTCCTCTTCACCAGTAAGATGGAGATAAAAGTTACCCACTTTGGAAGATCTGATGAAGACTAAATGATGTCATTTTTACACAGCTCCTAATCATTGCACTAATGTGTGTGTGTGTGTGTGTGTGTGTGTGTGTGTGTGTGTCTGAATGTGTACCTGTGTCTGTCTGTCTGTGTGTGTGCCTGTGTGTGTCTCTCTGTGTATATGTGTATCTGTGTGTGTGTGTGTCTTTCTGTGTATCTGTATATGTGTGCATTTGTATGTGTGTGTCCTGTTATTCCCACTTTACAAAAGAATAGAAAATCCAGAGACTTATCAAACTGCTTTGTAATAAGAGGAAACTTATTTTAAGTCCTACTTCAGCAACTTAACATCTTGAAGCTTTAATCACACCAATCATAATTTCTTGTTCGTGAAATGTGCCTATGTGGCCAACCTTTTCATGTTAGAACTCTTTATAATCATTCTCTTGTATTCCTCTGTGTATTCTCTTTTCCTTGGCAGCCACCTCCATTCTCATCTCACAATCCCTTTTGATTGAATCACATTTTCCATTCAGACATTAGAACTAGTTGTCTTTGCTAGATACACCACCCGGGCAATCCCAACCACTCCCCTGCCCAGGTTAGAGACTCAGTGCCTCCTCCTTATCCATCTACTAAAGTCACTTTGGAACTTCCGCTGATACATTGGAAACATATATACATATATACATATATATATATATTATACTTACTTATAAATATATATTTTTATATATTTACTATATATTTGAATTGTATATATTTACTTAAGAGGGTTCTGGGTTTTTGCTTTTATGAACAGTGAAGCGATGAAAGTTTCTAAGCAACTCTTTTGTGCATGTGTATAGAATAAACCCCTGGTAGTGTATGTGTTAGGGTAAAGAGACTTAAATCTTACTCAATAGTCAATGCCCTTTAAGGATTTTGAACCTATCCCCTCCTCTCTGACAGTACATGTTCCTCCTTCTGCATGGTCTGAGCTCATGAAATTGTTTCAGGCTTGTCAACCGTTCTACCTTATTAGGTGAAATATATTTAGCACAAAAACTTTTCTAAGTGTTCCGTCTAAATATACATGAAGATTGTATTATGAACAATAATGGCTTGCCCGCCTACTGGAAAACTGAAATTCCTGAAACATCAACCTCAGATGTCATGGAACCGCTCTGAGATGAACCTGATGTATCTGTGCAGGGTGTAAAGACTCAAGCACTGGTGAGATGGCTCGGGGGATAGGGTGCTTGCCACCAAGCATGGGGACCTGAGTCTGATTTTTTGAACACACATGGTGGGAAGAAAGAATCAACTCTTGCAAGTTATCCTCTGATCTCCATGTCTGTGCTGCGGCATGTGAATTCGTGAGTGCATGAACACACACACACACACACACACACACACACACACACACACATATAACCAAAGTTTTAAATAAAATAGAAAACACTGGGTGTTTGTGTTCTCACAGAATCATTGCTACATCCTATTTGCTAGTGATTTTTAGTATTAATATCACCTGTATGTGTATTCTTGCTGAAAAAATAATCAAAGCTTAAGACTTAAGATCCCTTAAATACCTACTCCTCAGTTCCACATTTACACAGAGAAGGAAAATAATTATCATCAGTTTATGTCTGTCTTTACAAGACAATTCCCAGGTGTCACTAGGGGTGACAATCTGGTCTCCTACAGATCTTAGAATAGGCAGCTTCCTGTAGTGTGTACTGCTACTTACCTCTGAGTTCACAGGATTCTTCTTATTTTATACGGTCCACCCATTGTCTCTTTTAAGCTAAATACCTAAGTCTTAACAATTGTTGTTTTATACCTTGTTTTAATTTTTTAAAGTTGCATAAAAACTGAAGATCCAAATAGAGATCTAAGATCCAACTAGTTCTGAAATGGAAAATTCAAGGTTTGTCCAATGACTCAGAAAGGAAAGCAAAAAAAGCCATTATCAGAACCAGCAGAGAGGTCATGAACAGAGCTGAAGAGCCAGACTTTGGGCCAGGTGGCCAGGTGGCCAGGTGGCCACATATTCTAATCAAGACAGCTGTAACCGAAAGCCAGACACCAAGGCAATCACTCCACTTGCTTCCACTTAAGCAACCTGCTCTGCAGCATCATCACAACAGCTAGTTGGGAGGACTCACTGAAACAATGTATGTACAGAAATTATGAGCATCACAGGTCAGGTGGTGAAACCCTGACAATTGTCTAGGGGTGCGCACGAGCACCCTGTGTGTGTGTGCGTGTGCGTGCGCGTGCGCGTGCGCGTGCGCGTGTGTGTGTGTGTGTGTGTGTGTGTGTGTGTGTGTGTGTTCATATAAATGTGTGTGAGAGCGTGTAGGTGTACATGTGTGTGCAAATGCATGTGCCTATACATGCAAATGTGGAGACCAGAGGTTGATGTCTGGTGCCTTCCTCTACTACTGTATCCTTGTTTTTTGAGACAGAGTCTCTCATTCAATCCAGAGCTAGCCATTTCAGTAACACTGACGCTGGCCAGCATCTCTGCTCCCCAGGGATCTTCCAGTCTGCCTCCTTCCCCTCAGCACTGGGGTTAGGATAATAGACACATACAGTATGATCATCAAGCTTTTACATGGGTTCTGGAATTCCAAACTCATGCCTTCACAATTGCACAGCAAGCATTTTACCTACTGAACAATCTTCCCAGCCTCTAACTTTTAAAAAATTAAAGAGAGGGAGAAAGAGACAGACAGACAGACAGACAGACAGACAGACAGACAGACAGACAGACAGACAGACAGACTCAGAAGCACAATGAGAGACAGAGAGAGATGGAGAAGGAGGAAGAGGAGGAGGAGAAGTTGTTTATGATAATCATCCATTTAGAATTGTGCAAAGCAGTTCGTGCTGATAATCCCAGCATGTGTGCAGCTGAGCCAGGACAGTGAGTTAAAGTCCATCCTAGGCTACATGGCAACACCCATCTCAACAATAACAGCAAAAGAACCTTCTAAACCAGAGTGCCCCTCCTCATGCACCCCTCCCTCAAGGGGCCTGGCTCCACAGTTCATAAAAGAGACCTAATGCAACAGCAGCCCCCAAACCTGGGACTCAGGAGGCCAGGCTTGCCACCCTGGCTCCGGAACACCGGGAGTTTAGGTTTCAGTAGCTGAGCTGTTGATGGTCTGCACTAAACTTTTGAAGACCCAGACATAGGTCCAGGGAAAGCCCTCCATGGGCCTGCCCCTTTGCACAGATCTGTGTCCCTCACTCAGCCTTGCATCCCACATATTCTCCTACCTCACTCCCCTACCTATTTGTTCCTATAACCCCCCTCCATCACCCTTGGGTCCTCTAGGTTCCATTGTGAGTTTTAGCTGTTTCCTGTGTCTTCCCTGTACATATTTAGTGCTTTGAAGCAGGGTTCTGTTCCTGGCTCCCTCCTGGCTCACAGCAGGAGCCAGTAGGTGAGTGGACGGTCCACTCTAACCCACTTTGAAGTCTCAGAATGATACTGCACCACAGGTTAGATTTATGGGTCTATTTGCAAGTTCTTGTCAGAAATAATGATCCATCAGAAGAGACTCTGCCTCTCACGAGACTTAATTAACCCAAGAACCATAAGCCATTGCATTTTTCCCCTTCATGTTTCTGCCTTCCTGTACACTCACCCCCACATCATTATGAGAAAATAAAGAAAGGATATGTCCTTGCATCATTCTCCTCTGTTCCCACACTCCCCATGATTCCAGCCCCCCCCCCATCTCTGAAATGACAGTACTGCCAACAAGCACAGGTATTTTGCCCTTAATATTTATCTTCAGATGACCTCACAATAGCTTCATGTATACCAATACAGATAACAAACACCCTGGGAGACACACAATATTGTATTTTTGCATATGTTTTATTAGTTAATCATGGTCAGGGTCTCATGTGTTCCAGGCTGGCTTCAAGCTAATATGTAAGTGAAGATGACTTTAAACTTTTGATCATCCTTCCTCCACCTCTTGAGTGCTGGCTTTAGTGGCATGTGCCCTTGAAGATGCTAAGGATTGAACCCAGCTTTTTGTGCATGCTAGGCAAGTGCTCTACAAATCGAGCTGCAGGCCCAGCCCACATGCATACACTTTTACAGTTTATAAAAGTACTTGAGAATCACTATAGGATGATAGTAACAGAAAAAAAATGGTGTGGCATAAAACCATCAGCTAGTGGGCTCTCAATTAGTACAAATATATGCATAAAAGAATTCTGGAAGAAAAGTAAAGGAAATGTTTCTGGGTAGTGGAAACACAGTGGTTCTGGATTTTTAAATGTTTTGTTGTTTTTATGAAAATATTTTATTATTTAATTGTGTGAGTGTTTGCTCTCATATATACACACGCATCACATGCACACAGTGCTTGTGGAGGCCAGGGAGGGCATCAGATGCCCTGGAACTGGTGTTTCAGATACTGGTGCTGGGAACTCCGAGATTCTCTGTAAGAACCGTAAGTGTTCTTAACAGCTGATCCATCTCTCCAGCTCCCAATTCTGTTTTCTCAATTTTGCATATACTTATGCTTTTATAAAGAAATTTTTAAATAAAAAACTGTCTAAATGTTCTCCTTCCTCCCCTCTCTCCATCACTCCCTCTCTCCTTCACTTCATATCCTGTTAAGACACAGTAGAACAGCTCTCCAGCAGCTTCTAGGATCCTTCTGTAGAGACTCTCAGCCTTTAACATCAAATATAAAAACCCAGCATTAAACCCTAAGGGTAAACACTGTTTCAGAAGCTGTAATTCATCTTTCCTACCTGTCTGTTTTTACTAAAACAGACAAATAGCTTTCACTGAAGAACAATTTTAAACAAACTATAAATTTGCCAAAGGAAACACAGACGGTTTCAGCATGGTGACACCTCCACCTCTGGGAACTGGTTTGGATGCAACTTCTCAAGCCCAGACATACCTGAAGTACCAGGATTTCATGGAAATAGGTGGTGATGCACTGGAGCCTACACTTCTTACAAAGGGTCTCAAGAAGATGCCGATGTTAATACTGAGAGGAACCCCTAAGTCTGAGTCATCTGATTGCAGGTAGTGACAGGGAGGGAGTCGGGGCAGAATGTCAACAGCTTGTAAATAGTGATGTGCTTGCCAGGGTTGGTCATGGGGTTTGTGGGTATGGGGGGCTCTGATTTGCAACGTTGTCACTTGTGACTGCCATCCCATCACCAGGGGAATCTAACCTACCCCCCCCCCGTGTGAATCATGAACTTGGAGTTGCAGAGGCACATGCATAGGTCTCAAAAGTCAGTGGCTCCAGCTGGAGTGATGGCAAAGATTCAGGTATTCAATTCCCTCACCATTTGTAAGTGAGTGCATATCTCTGCATTGCTGGGAGGACTATTCGCTATACACCCTGTATTGCTAGGAGGACTATGCACTATGCACTTTATTTCTTGGAGGACTATTCACCACAGACTCTGTAATGCTGGGAGGACTATTTACTATACACTCTGTGTTGCTGGAAGGACTATGCACTATACACTCTGTATTGCTGGGAGGACTATGCACTATACACTCTGTAATGCTGGGAGGACTATTCACTAGATCCTGACTGTATTGGAGTTGGAGCCAAGAAGATATAAACTCATTTTCTAAGTCTCAGAAGATCCACATTACATTTCTCATAGATTTTCAACAGCACAGGAGACATAAGCCCCGATTGTTTGTTCTGCAAGAGTACAAGTTTATCATTTGACTCAAAGGTCCTAACTACAAAAACCAATGGTCACTCTAATGCCTCACTGATAAGGAGGCATCAATTATGCCCTCTGCTCAGGTGCTGTCTTACCCTGTTAAAGTGAAAACCAAAATCCTCACAGAACCACTTGTTTAAAAAGGTGAGGTTCAACACGACACACACCTGCAATGTGAACACTACAGAGGTTGCAGCAGGTGGATGGCTGACTTGAGCTATACAGTGTGAAGTGAAGTCCATACATCCCACACCCAAACAACCACATAAGGCTGATCAATTGATTGGAATTTCTTAATTGTGTAGAGTTTCTGAGTACAGAATTTGTAAGTGCGGAAGTAAAATTCACAGGGCTCTCTTCATCTCTGTTAACACCCATTCAGAGCTCACCCCTGTGTCTGTCCCAACATCATTATGAACATGAGTCAATCCTTTTGAAGGGAGTCCCCTTAAGAGAATGGCAGGTCCCAGCTCTACTCTTTGGCAACCTGCTTGCCTAACTATAAAAACTACATAAAACCACTTCTACCGTGCAGCGTATTATGTGAGACAGCTCCATTCCACTGCCACTCATATTTGGCTCAAAAATAAACTCTCTCTTATTCTTTTTGAAATGAAAGTTCTGTTTTTTTAATTGACAATATTTTTATTGACAATATGAGACCTTGTATCTTAAACAAAAGAAAGAAAGAAAAGAACATAGTGGTTGCATTCTGCAATCCTGGCACTTAGGAGGCTAAGGCACCTTCAGCTACCAGGCAAGTTTGAGAACAACCTGAGTGACATGAGAAGAACTATCCTCGAATTTTCAAATGATGTTTAGTGCTTCAGGATATCAGCATTGCTATGCCTATGTCAAGAAAAAAAGACTATTTTCCAATTTGCTAAATGTCTATTTTTCTTTTCTGAGTTAGTAATGCTAAATGCTTTTTTAACTTTCACCTTGAAATCAGGTTTTGGCAACTGAAGGTTATAGAGCATAGTTTAAATCCCATGCACAGACAAACTCCCCAACTCCACATCACCACCATCACTTTTTAAAGTTTCTAAACTCCCCAAGAGTTCACTATCATTTGTAAAATGATAGTGAAGAGTTTCCCCACAACTGTCAGGTCTGAGAAGGCAACAAGAATCAAACACTTCCCAGTTCATCCCAGTCATTAGTACTAAGCATAGTACTTGGTACTTGGGAGATAAGTCTTACACTCTCAACTTCTTTCCATTCATCTGAAATTGTGCAGCTTAAGCCAACTTTTTCTTAATCATAGTATCATCAGATATGTTTGAATGTGGAGGAAAGTCAGCCTCCATTGTATCTTTGCTATGTAAGGTGAAGAAAACAATGCAAAGATAAACAAATGCTTTTTGGCCACAAAGGGAATGAAAGAGAGCAAGTTACAGACCACCGTTCAAAAACCAAAAACAACCAAAGTAAATAGCGAATACAAAACAAGGGGTTCTAAATGGAATTGAAGCCCCCACCCCTCTCTGAGACAGAGTATTGCAATATAGCCCAGGCCAGCCTTGAACTCATAGCAATTCTCCTGCCTCAGCCTCCAGAGTGTTGGGATTTCAGGCATGCCCAGCTGAAGTCAATTTCAGTGTGTCTACCTGTGATCACATTACACCTCTCCAGTGCTCCACTCCTGCCCTGACTAATATGTATGTGACATTCAGAGAGGAGGAAGGAACCTACCCACTAAGCTGTTCTTGTCCAGTTTCTCGGGCGAATCCATCTCATTCTTGAGAGGCTTTCAAATCTGGCAGAAGGTCCTGAGCCTGGAATCAAGTGTGACTGCAGGCATCAGCTGAGCAGTGTGTGGAGAGGAAGCCAGAGTAAGGGAGGCTCCCTCCCCTTGGCACACACCCTGAGGAGTAGTAACCCTGGTGCAAGAAGCCTAGAAACAGAAACAAAACACCTTCCCTGACTTCACACTGTCTTTGTTCAAAGAGGAAAGGTAGAAAACAGATAGCCTTCTGTCAGGGCTGCTTCCTATGAGATGTCATGTGATCCCGTATCATTAACTTACTATAAAACATTGCTAGACCCCTTGTGCAACTCATTATCTGATATACAAGTATATCTGTCCACGTGTATTATAATGCAATAATGTAACCTAATTCATCTAACATGCTGCAGTAAGAACACTTTCAAATGCAAAGCCAATCGTGTCACATCCTTAAGATAACACAAGTGCTAATTGTTGAGACTAATGTCATAGCTGTCTCTGGCAAAATTTGAAACTACTAGCCAGACCTTCCTTTTCCTGACACTCCCCTCTCCCCATGCATCAATCTTTTTAAGGCTTTTAGGTGTTTGTTTTCAGACAGAATTTCATTCTAACTCACACTGGCTTTGAACTCTTAGGAATTCTCCTGCCTCAGCACCTCTCCCCCACTGCCCTGAGTACCAAGATTGCAGGTATGAGTCACCACCCAGCTTTCTTTAAATCATTATGCACACCAAAAAAAAAAAAAAAAAAACAATATGCAGCCTCTTGCCTCAGGGCCTTTGCACTTATAAGTATACAAACAAAGCTCAACTTTTGTTTTCTTTTTCTTCTAGACCAGCCTTAGCCTGCTACCTGTTTGCTTTAAGTAAACTGCTATTGTGCATAGCCATGTCCATTCCTTCCTGTATCATCTCTGGCCACTTTTGTGCCACCTCAGTAATGAGGGACTGTAACAGAATCTACATGAGCTGAAGAACTTCCAATATTATATGCTCCTTTGAAAGAAAGGCATGTTGGCCCATGCCTGATAGTATGTTTCTATGTGGAGAGTAAACAGATTATTACCTATCACACCTGGAGTGTTTGGAGCATCCCAGACAATAGCTGATGTTCAACAGATGATTGTCCACTGAATGGATAAGCAATGTTATGATGATAAAAGTTCCTAGGAGGAAAAGCTCTTTCTGAGATGCAGAGATTCAGCTTTCTGGCTGTGTTGGTCAGTGATTCATTCATTCATTCATTTGTTTTTGTCAGCATGCCCTTGATTAATGACTGATATAGGAGGGTCCAGCCCACTGTGAGCAGTGCTACTCCAGGGCTGGTGGGTCTGGGTTGTATAAGAGAGCAGGCTGAGCAAGCCATGTAGAGAAAGCCAGGAAGCCCGGTTCCTCTGTGGTCCTTGCTTCAGTTCTGCTTTGAGTTTCTGCTTTGGCTTCCCTCATGTGCAGTCTGTGAGCTGGAAAATGAAATCCTTTTCTCCCCAGTTGCTTGCAGTCATGGTGTTTATTCTAACTGAGGACAGGGCCCAGGATTTCATTTTGTGCCACACCCCTAGAACCAAATGCCAAAGTAAATTTATTCTAATACTGAAAATCCCTCTCTTACATCAATATCCTAAATATTTACTTCTATCTGTGTAAAAGGACAAAGCCAATAGCTGTTCATCTTGCATTTTCTATGTTTTCTTTTTTCATTTATCTAGTTATTCATCCTTGCAGAAACATCTTTAAACATTTCCCACAACATGGTTAGATTTACCAAGTACTTAATTGTCTTCTCTGCAAATGGAAGTGTGGCTCTCATAGGAATACTTGTGGAAGTTTAGAATTTAAAGGAAGGAAGCTTGGTCCAGGAAACCAGATTCCAGCAGAAACAGGAGCAAGCCTATATGAGGTGGGATCTGTCCAGTCTACACCTTCATCCAAGAGTGCTGCGTAGAAGTGATGCCAGGGCATAGTAGCTGAGAAAGAAGCTTGGAGCCCACACTGCCAGCATGGCCAGAAACTACTGCTTTGTCATGTATTAGCCACGTCATCTTGTATCAGACCTTTATATGTAGGATGGAAATAATAGGATTTACCAACAATTTATCTAACTGAGATTCATTCAGATGCTGCATTTAAATGGAGTACTGTTTGGAGCTGTTAAGTGTTAGTTATCATCACACGGAGTGGGAGCTGAGTCCCATATTTGTGACAAATTATCTTCTAGTGGGGACTGTTGAGTTAATTCAATGTCTCCCCTTTCTTTTGTTTTCAAGTGAGCCCAAAATGGACTCATCACATGAATACTTTGATCAGGCCTCTTCTCTCCTTCATCTAGCATGACCCTTTTTTTCTATAAGTTTGAAAATTTAGGAGCTGGACATGATGGTACAAACATGTAACCCTAGCACTTAGGAGGCATAGGCAAATGGGTTGCCACAAAGTTGGGGTCAGCTTGCTCAGATAGAAAGTTCCAGATCAGCAGAAGATACATGTTGAAAATTCCATGAAAAACTAAACAAACAAAGAACAGGAAAGAAAAACCCTAAAATTCCAGGCCCATCCCTGACTCTGTGTTGCTGATGAATAGATTCTGTTTCTTCTTAGCCTTTGCTCTACCATCTTTCTGTCATTCTTAGGGACGAACACATAATGTAAATAGCAGTAGGAGAGCTTCCTGTTTGTATCATTTCTCATTCCTAAGCCATGTTCAGTTTGTATCCAGAATGGGACCAAACTTCTCCCTTTGAATCAGATGTCCCTTTCTGGTCATGTAGCAGAGGCTCTAGCTTAGCCTTATTTCTAAAAACATTTCCCCCAGTATTGGCCAACTGCCATTTATGTTATAGCTGCCACTCAAGGAAGTGCAAGATTCACAACAAAACCAGTAATTGTTCCCAGGGGCCACTAGAAGGCGTCTCAGGAGAACTCACCATGTGTCTCCTTGGGAGATGACTAAACAGCTGTTTTTCTTCTTCTTGCAAAGTGTTCCACACATCTCCACCTCGAAAGCAATGGTGGCTTCATGTTATAAACACCCTGAGTTCCTACAGAGGAGTCTGAGAAACAGGATGAGAGGCCATTTTTCTGTGGATAGAGTAACCCCAGGTAGACCTAAGGCAATGAACTATCTGATGACATTTGCTGCTTCATCATGGAGGAGTGTGGGTGTGTGGAAGGGGTATTTGCTGTTTGAATACTTTCAGTCTATCAGTTGCTGAACTAGCTGAAACTCTACCCAGAGGACAGAGGCTTTCAAATGCCCAGACTGTGGTCTAACTCTTGAGGTATATAGCAAGCACACCTGCCCTTCATGCCTTCTTTTCCCTTAGTGGCGACCTTTGGAAGAACTAACCTGAGACAGTCCATTCTAGCCACAAGCCTTTCAGCTTCCTGTTTCAGGAATCCTCTGACATTTCTTGTTCAGAGGGACAATGTACTCAGGGACACTTGCTGTTCCCTTAAGGCTTGTCCCCTTTAAAGAAATCGTAGTTTCCACTATACATGTTAGCCATACTCATGAACACCCACATCTTTTAATAAATTTGGTCCCTAATTGTATGAAGATACTTGTGGAGAGAACTTTCCACTAAAGTTCTGGCCTAGATCTCTCTGCTAAGTGATGCCAATTAAACATCTCTTCCTGGACATACCAGAATCAATATTCTATACCTGCTACATAGGGATCTTTTGTGATAGAAATTTTGTTGATGCATGTGAAATAACATATGCAAAGCATGCATAGATTCTGTTTTAATCAAATAAGCAGATTTCAAATAATCAAATAATAATAATCAAATAATCAAATCAAATCAAATCATCAAATAATCAAATAATCAAATAATCAAATAATGTGAACATTGTGTCCAACGCCACAATTGGAATATTACCCACACCCCTGGAACATGTGAGCATGCCTCCCCATCATAGCCCTACTCTCCACAGCCAGAAGCAAGAATTCTGTTCTCGTGCTTTTCAAATAGATTTTTTTCATATGTGTTAACTTAGTCTTACTTGCTTTTGACCTAAATAAAACTCCCCTTGTGGCCTTCTCTGATTACTTGTACCATGTTTCAAGGTTAATTCACACTCTTGTAAGGAAACAATGATTTTGAGGACAGGAGAGATGGCTTTGTAGTTAAGAGCACTGGCCATTCTTGCAGAGACCTGGGTTCAGTTCCCAGCACCTGCATGGCAGTCCATAACTGTCTGTAACTTGTCCTATGGGATCTGACACCCTCTTCTGACTTCTATATACATGCAAGTGGTACACAGGTGGCAAATACTCATACACATAACAATAAGAGGAAAAGTTAAAAAAAAAAAAACAATTCTTATTGATAGTTCACCAACCTAGCTATAATACTTACATTTGGTGCCGAAACTGAGGACAGGCTCTCCTGGTACCTGTGTTTCCCCTCATGGTCTAAGCTGCACTAGGGCCCTCTCCATCTCCAGTCTGCTCACAACAAACTCACCTCCAGTTCACTGATTTCTCAGCACCCCGTGCACCAGCAGCAATTAGGTCAGTATTCCCTTTGGTCTATGTAAATGTTTCCCTAAATCCAAGGAAGTGACTGTTGAGTGTCCAGCAACCCTCCAGTACTCTTGGAGGTGGAGTTATCCCCAGCCAAGGTTTTCAAGGCTGCAGTTTCCTTAGACCCAACTGGGCTTTAACGATCCTTTCCTCCCTCTTCACTTCGGAGCTGTCTGTAATCCCACAGCTCCTCTAGGCCCTCATGGCTTTTGTGACTCCATTCTCTAATCCTTTCCTGTGGATGAGACCCTTCCTCTTAGAACTGGATTTTTGTCCTTGCCTTCTGACCTCTACAAAAACCCTGGTATCAGGTGCTGAGTCTCTCCTCTGGCTTAGCCAGGCAGCCCCTGACCCCCATTGAGTGTGGTGATGACACACCGAATGGCTTGGTCCCCATTGGGTACTCCATGAGTTCTGGGGATTCCCAGAACTAGAGGCTGCAGTGACAGTTTCCTTCTCTCTCATTTATGGAAATGTGTCTTCTGTGTCCTTTCCTTCCCCTTGGATTGCCTCTTAGAAAACCTCCAGCCTCAGCTGGGCGGTGGTGGCGTTAATCCCAGCACTCAGGAGGCAGAGGCAGGCGGATCTCTGTGAGTTTGAGACCAGCCTGGTCTATAAGAGCTACTTCCAGGACAACCTCCAAAGCCCAGAGAAACCCTGTCTCAAAAAAACCAAAAAGAAAGAAAGAAAGAAAGAAAGAAAGAAAGAAAGAAAGAAAGAAAGAAAGAAAGAAAACCTACAGCCTCTACACCTGGCACTTGATGTGAAGGGTTCTAAATTTATTCATTTTTGCAATCAAATTTGGCTTCAATACCCCTTAGATAATCCTAAGGGCCACCTAATGGTACTCTAGATCCTAATATTATTTGGGACCTTTACAAATACTACAGGCAATCAGGAAATGGAAATTCCCCATTCTCTATTTCTCGTTTCTTCATTCCAAACCCTGTATGTTTTTGTCTAGTCTCCT